TAAACCTGACTTCTGATCGTCGGTGCTTGAACTTTCATCGCGGCCTCCTTTTCGAATATCCTCGATCTCTCGCTTCTATCTTGCCACGTTTTACATTTATCCTTCTCTGGAGATCGCTCGACAATTTATTATTATACCCATTCGCTCTCACCATCTCGCTTAAAATTCAAGCGATAGATAATTGGATACATTATTCCAATCTGATTAACGTGTTTTATTAGAAATTTGAAATAGACCAAAGATAAAGAAAAATAATATTTGTAGAGAGTGTGAGAATAACATTGAACGAAATAAACAGGAAATAATAAAAAAATAATCAATTACTATTGATGATTACAATTAGCACGTTATAGGGTTTTGTTTATTAAATCTTATAATATAAAAACATTATGTTATAATTATTAATTAAATAATTATTATCTAATATAAATTTTTACATGAGTATCCACAAGAAGAAAACGTTAGAATATAAGGAATCGCACTTTGTATGGAGAGTTTGAAAAGCAAAATGTTTCTCAAGATGAAAATTACAAAAAATTGGCGACATATAATTAATTAATTCTAATCGCGTCAGCATGCACAGCTTGCAAACGGCAACGACAAACCAAGTTATTGCGCCGCGATACGTGCTGGTGGAATCTGGCAATAAAATTTGCATTAATCGTTCTCGACCGGTGGAAAGCATAAAAAACGAAAACGTAGAAAAGGATATGCAATAATATATAGTATGAGAATTAGAGAAAAGAGAAAAGAGATGTCGCGCAAAATAATTAATTTTCTGTATTGATAATATTTTTTATATGTTTAGAGAGCTATCACGAAAGAAAAGTAACGAAAGCAAGACATTTTATAAATCGTACATTTTCGATATCGACATTAACTACCAATAACTTTCGAGGAATGTCGACTTTTCAAGAGAATCTTCTTGGTATAAAATCAAACATTCTAATATTACCAATCGCGAGAATATAAAAAGTCGAAGGCCACATAAAAATGTATAAAATAAATAAAAGAGAAGGGCAACTGGGAGCCGAAACGGAAGTGAACGTAGAATAAAAGTGGAACAAGGCATTTTAGATGGAGGACAACGAGCTCGAGTTAAAATAGCGCGAAAACGACGACTATCATTTATGAATTATTTGCCATCGTGTGATTTATGACGCGAATCGTCGCTCCCTCTCTTTCTTTCATTGTACTCACTGTAAATCTAGGTGTGGCAAGTTATACAGGAAAGTCGGAAAGACACGTAAAAGGGAACCGAAAGCTATATGAGGCGTAGAAACGCGGTAAAGAGAAAATAGAAGGAAGCTAAAGAAAGTGGAAAAGATGCAAGCAATTGGCAACTACGAAAACCGTCACCCAGTGACTGTTTGTTACTCTGGCGCGTCTCCAAATTTACTCTTTCTCTTTCAACGAGCTTTTTTTCTCTTCTTAGTTTTCTATTCACTTGATTTATTGTTATATTGCGCTTCGGCTTGATCGTTCAACAACCACCATCATTCACAGTGACAAAAATCCGATTCCTTAAATAAAACAGAGTTCTTTAAATTTATTCGATTGATAAATTTCATTTAATCGTATCAATTTAATAGTATCATACAAGTAACTTTTTAATTAAAGTAATTTTTTAATTAAAAATATCGACAAATATTGTAAATATGGAATAACGAATATGTTGTATTAATCAGCATTTTATATATAATTGCTTCGTACATTTGAAAATAATTAATGCTTATTCTGGATATGTGAGTTCTGGATATATCTTAATATGTATAAGAATAACTAAAATACATTTTGATTTATGAATTCCTTATAGTTGAAATTTTCTTTCTGATCAAACGTGATAAATTTACTTTTTAATCGTTAAATTTTAATATCATGAGTATCATTTAAAAGTATTTTTATTTCATTGTTTCTGTCATGTATACAATATTTATTTAATAAGAAATTTTTAAATGTGTGTGTGTGTGTGTGTGTGTGTGTGTGTGTGTGTGTGTGTGTGTGTGTGTGTGTGTGTGTGTTAGCCATTGGTGTGTGTGTGTGTGTGTGTGTGGTGTGTGTGTGTGTGTGTGTGTGTGTGTGTGTGTGTGTGTGTGTGTGTGTGTGTGTGTGTGTGTGTGTTAGCCATTCATTGTCGATACGTTAATTTCATTCAAGCGTAAAATTTTTAACTCGTAAATAACCACTTTATTCATGAGCTACTAATAGCACTTGGAATTGACAAAATTAGGTATGTTTTGGAAATATAAAATTTCGCATTTGTAAAATGTATACTACAGAAAATCAGAATAAAAGTAAATTATTTTCCATTTATTATTTTTCATATATAAATCAGACATATATAATTCGATGAAATAATATAAATATTATTAAATGTACAATCAACAATTTCTGCTTTATAGATTACTAATTAAAATATTATAACATATAAAAAAGATGATAAACATTTAAACTATTATTAAAGAAGAATCGGTATTAAATTCGCCATAAAAGACTATAATTAAAGAAGAATTTGTGTTGAACATTTAATATACTTACTTTGCACATTTTGCAGATATTTAGCAATTACCAAATAAATTAGTACGGTGCATCTGAGATAGAGTTTGTACATAGATTACGCCCAACACATCCATTATTAAGTCGCATGTTTGTCCGTAATGGTGCTTCGCAAACGACCGGGACAGTTCCAGGAGCGTGCATCATCCGCGGAAATAGTTGAAATTCTCCGGGTAGAGCCGCCGGAAGCGTGAAAGTATATATCGCGCACGTACAAAACGCGAACGAGTGTGAGAGTCTCCGGCTGCCGTATATCTTTGTAATAAACTCTCGGGCGACCCCCCTTTCCCCAACTCATTCGGCCGCGCGCTACCCTTATGACCCGTCGACGTTAATTACCAGAATAATTGCCCAGGATGGAAATCCAAGCCTTACGCAGACGTGTTTTGTGGTGCTATTCGGACAGATCAGGCGGCATGTATGATCTCTTTAGCACGCTGATCTACTTGGATTTAGCAAGTAATAAAATTTTTCTTTTCGTGGGTGAAACATAACAAATAATTTTAATATTTACAAATAATTTTCCAATAAAATTATTAATTAAATATTAGAGTGTTAAATTGGATAACTCTTATATAAAAAAAATCTATACATTGAAATTTAATTTTTCGTAATTAAAAATAACAAAAAAATCGAGAAAAATTTCTCTCTCTCAAAAGTTTGTTGTTTTGTGATTGTGTCTTTCCTTTAAGAGTTACACTGTCATTCGTGGGAGATTTAGACAAGGAATTGTCGTTCACGAAGCGAAACCGACAAGGAAGAGACTCGCCTCCTTGGAAATTCGCCAAAACTGTGACACCAGCTCTCAATTTACTAGCCAGTTTGACTTTCTATGTGCCCAAAGTATACATACCTCCGTTCCTTTTGACCGAGAAAAACGCATATACGTATTTATCGATTACATTTATCTTACAGATCCACACGTGCGAATAGCGATAAAAATCCAAAAGATTTCAGTCTCGACTCAATATAACGAATAACAATAAAAATTTTATTAACTTGATTACTTTGCTTATCATCTCGATTTATTAACTTTTTTAAGAAACATATCGTTTTCAGGATTTGAAAAAAGATATATATATGTATAAATGTAAATATATATATATGTGTCATTCTTTTTAAATTGTTAACAAAATTACGCTAAAATGTTAATAACAATGGCTTAAACTAAAGTTTCTACTTTCTATACTTTCAAATTTTACAATATTATTTTGTAAATTTAAGAAACGTAAAAAAAGAGATTATATTGTTTGATCACAAAAGTTATCTATTAAATTAGCGTAGCAATAAATTGTAATAAAATTTAAGAATCTATAAAATCGCGGTTCTTGCCAATGGTTATTTTTCAGATAATGATATGGTACGCGGTACCTCCCGCACACTACATCAGTTGGCATTTATTCGAGGAAATATCGGATACTCTTAAATCAGAACCAACAATAAAGCGCAGACTGTTTCCTCCTATTCTGCATTCTGCGGTCACAGGACAGGCTGTGCGTGCATCTTCGCGAGTGGGCACACGTGCAGACGTATGCACATGCGAGCGGGATAAGTGTATCGCGCGCGATCCAACTCTCCTCTCCTTTTCGCTACAAACGTACGTTTGCAACATGAAAGTGCAATGGGTTCAGTATCCAGGACAGAAGTTACTTACAGAATTGGAGACATACCCTCCCTCTTACACCCCGTCTGCTACAGTTACCCACAAGGTAACATCCTGTACTTCGATTCTTCTCCCGCAAAAAGTGAAAGACGGTCAGGAAGAGGGATGTATGCGAACGAAGAAAGAACGTTAGGGAAAATGGAAGAAAGGAAAGAAAGAAGAAAAAGAGAAAAATGAGAATAAGGGGAGAAAAAAGGAGAAAGAGAGAGAGAATAAGAGGACAAAAAGAGCGAGGGATGAGGGAGAAGGAATGTGCTCTCGCATAAAATTCTCGTTACCCCGCGTACTATGTATCGAGCAGCTCTTGAAGCGACACACTGATCCTCACTCCTTCTCATCTCCTTCTTAAACCTTCCCCTCTCCCTTCGAACCCCGACATACCGCCACTCGTCCTCGAAATTGCATTTCGCTCGACTGTCGCGGCTCGTTTGCTCGAATGCGTCGGAGCTACCCGGGAATAGGCTGCCTTTAACTTCGAGGTGCTGGAAGCGGCAGCAGCGGGGGCGACAGTGGGGTGCACAATTCTATTAATTCGAATTACGAGAACGGACTTTACATCACACGCCACGAATATGTGCGACGTCTGTTTAACTGCGATTTCGTCTAGTTAATATGTCGAAACATACAAATGCACGAGCCTCTCATACTCCCAGAATATGTGGAAGCCGTCGAAAAGGAAAATGAAAATATCGATATGCATGTATCGTTGAATAGTTTGAATATGCTTTGCAAACTTTCAAATAACATCAGCGTTAGGAATCTCTCAGTATTTATTCAAAATATTATAAATATTGTGGGAAGAATCTTGAAACAATATCGACAGCTTTGATTTATTATTAAAATAATTCGGCAACTTTTATTGTTTTCACAATGTGCTATGACTCTAAATATGTTTGCAAACACTCACAGATGAGTTTCCCGCGGGACATGTATCATATAGAACAATATATTTTCCTGCGGCAAGAGGCAGACCATTTCATTGCCACATGGTATATAACTCTCTATATAAATCAAAAAGAAATTGATTGCGTTTGTATGTATGAATTTTAAGTTATCACTTTTCATATTTTCTTGGTTCCTGATTAGGCGATTTTATACAAATAAAATATATCTTGCATTATTACTTTTTAAAAGTTAGCATAGTTGATTTTAATATGAATGATTAAATACAGATGATCTTAATACACAATTGCGACTCAGAACAATTTCTAGTCAATCATAACGGTCGAAATAAAGCAGTCTTTGTATTGCATTACGCGCATACCTTGATTATGCAAAATAAAGTTTTTCAAAACAAAAATTGCCGCAGACTTTACGATTGTCGCAAAACTTTGATAAATGGGATCCTAAAAGTTACTAGCATTAATGTAAATAAAATTTCCATATTACTATCATATTTATACATATAAGGGGACTCACACACGTTGCGCAACGATCAATTGTGCCGAAAGCAACCGCACTTTGCGTTTTTGCTAACGTCGTGAAGAAAATAGTTTGAAAGTATTCTCAGGATCCACTTCCTGTGACGTTTTCCATGTTCTCTGGACTCAACTGCACATTATGCGGAATGATGAATGATCTTTTCGCATTTTGCATGAACGCAAAGCGCACACAATGTCAATTTTAGCCGCATGAAATTTGATATTGCCATCACTTTAAGCAAATTGATATTAGACATATATTTATAATTCTAAATATATATAAAATTATTTTATTTCTTGACATTCCACATAGTTCTTAATATTTCATGATATATATGTTATATTATGATATATATGTTATATATATGTTATATTTATCATAATTAAGCTTTTTTATAAAGTTATAGTATCATCATAATAAGATATATATTTTTTATAATATGAAAATATTAAAAAAAGATTTACACATAAAAAGATTATTAATTTTACTTTTTAGATTATTAAAATTATTACATTCATTAAAAATTATTTTAATACGATTTTACTTAATTTTTTAGTATAATGAGTTATATTATAATTGTTATATTTATAATTGTTAAAAATGGATATCTCACTATTGTTTTTTCGCAAGAGTATTTGTATAGATAATGTTTGTCTCTTTCATTGTTCAGATATGTATAAATTGATTTTACATCGATATGCATATTTAAATGAATCTTTCATTTCAGTTGCGTTTAAATTAATAGAATAGCGAAATATACTATATCAGGATTAACAAAATAGAATGGTATTAGTTATATCACCTGGTACATCGTATAATGAAAGGACCCACCTGAGCGTTCCATCTACTTAAATTCAATTAAGGAAACTGCTCGAACTGCAAGCACGTTCCAAATATCTTACTGAAACATTTGAAGAATATTCGCGTTACTCTCAGTTGAAAGGTATTAATTAAAAAAATTAAATGTGTACAGGAAAATGTTCATGAAGGCAATAATGAAAAATCTAGATATTAATCAAACGAAATGAAACTCGAAGTCATGTTACTCTTATATTTAATTTAAGAAATTGATTAATTTCTTGTGTGTGACTAATTTTATGTAAATAAAATTGATCACTTAATTGACTTTCTTATTGAAAAGCAAATTTATAAAAATAAGTCAACGCATTGCGGAATGGCAATAATGGATTTCTCTCTCTCAGACATTGCAAAGTGCGAATAGTCAGATCCGTGCCGAATAAAAGCGTTTAACATTCTCTCTTTTCCACGACAAAATAATAATGAACAAAAACTTTCGTCTCTGAATCGTCATTTTCACGGGAAATGCGTTCCATAAATTCGTCCCGCAGTGGCAACCCCTACCTGCAGAAGGTTTATAGCTAATAAACGCAAATACCTACTCCGCTGCTTATGCAGAATACATAAAATATTGATATGCATTAACTATCCAAATGATATTAAAGATGACAACATCATCGTGAGCAATAGCGATTCGATATCTCAAGACTGAATAATAATATTAATAACTCGAACCGAAAATAGAGCTCGTATATATATGATATAGAACTACGTCCTTCGTTAAAACTTTTCTACTGTTAAACAAATCCCACATCTGTGTATATGTGTGTGTGTGTGTGTGTGTGTGTGTGTTTGTTTGTGCGTGTGTGTGCGCGCGCGCGCCATAAAATGGAATCTAATTAATATTATATAAATATATTGTATAAATATATAAATATATATATATATAAATATATATATATATATATATATATATACATATTTCATGATTAATTTATTTTTAATAATTAATTGGTAACATATATAAAGTTTATAAAATACATGTATTGAATGTAATAAAACAATTATAAAATTATGTTTTTTTAATTTAGAAAAGGAAAATGAAATGAGAAAAAATAGAAAATATCAAAATTATTTAAAAGATGTATATATATATATATAAATAAATATATATATATATATATATATATATATATATATAATTTTGATATTTTCTATTTTTTCTCATTTTATTTTCCTTTTCTAAATTAAAAAAACATAATTTTATAATTGTTTTATTACATTCAATACATGTATTTTATAAACTTTATATATGTTACCAATTAATTATTAAAAATAAATTAATCATGAAATATGTTATCTATTATTTATAGCATTTATATATAGTCATAATGTTGTAAAATATTTCAACTTTATTTCTATATTCTTTATTTCTGTTATTTATATTTTATTCTATCGCATATTTCTCATATAATTATTAAAACTTTAAAAATTTATGATATAACACGAAAATAACCGTTCTTGGAATAATAATAACTAAAAAATTTTGAATATATCGTTACTAAGAAACAAAAAAGAGTATCTATATTAAATAATAATTATAAATAATTGTGAATCCTATTTGAACGGACATTTTATTATAAGTTTGAAAATTACTTTTATATTTTACAGATATATATAATAACAAATTTATTACAAAAATTATAAAAGTTTCTTATTTTAAAAAATTGGAAAAAAGTGTTATATGATTATGAAATAATGCGCATCAACTACCAAATAAATAAGGAAAACAGTGTTATTTAAATGATATTTTATAATACTTGGGTCATATTTTATTTTAAAATAATTTATATATTGACTTTTATGTTCAGTAGCTTACAAATATGACGTACGTTTTATTAATACTTGTCGGCAAATACTTCAGATAACCCTGTATCTTTAAAACATTCTCGTGTAACCGATATCGAAGATATCAGGAAAATGCTGTGCTTTTATTTGACAGATCATGACAGATACTCGCGCGACACTATTCAGCATTGGACCAAACTGGAGAAAAAATGAGAAAAATGCGAAAAATATTCGTGTTAAGTGTCACTTTACTATTCAGGATATAACCGCTTCGGAACTAAACTTGCTAAAACGAAAGTGAATAATCCGTTTAGCATTATCGACAGTAGTAATTAGCATTGTATTATATACGGCTGCATGAGAAAAAGTGAAAGCTTACATTCTTCCTACTTTTGTCACGTAAATCAGGAAGCAAAATTGTCTCGTATATGTCAGTAGAAAGCTCCGCGAACTTTAACCGCAAAATTTTTTATTATTTGCGGTCTCATTAAATTAATCACTAATTATCTTTAAAGCAACTGTATACATATATTACCTGATATAACTATAACAATTTTACAATATACGTTCATCTGTAATAATTTATTTAAAAATGATCTTTAAAATAAATTTTAAGATTCTTAATAAATTGAACGAGATAAATTCTCTGAAAACTTAATCTGTATTGTAGTATAATCTATAGCACAAAAATAATTATTTTGAATAATTGGAAAGAATTGTCTAACAACATTTTCTATAAAAAGTACAATCAAATAATAAACTCATCATGCTTATTATGGAAAATGTGATGGTTAAGTAATTGCATTGATTTTGATTTTAATAGAATTTGTTTCACGCCTCATATCACATTTCATATTTCTCTCTTTTTCTCTCTACAATCTCATTCTAGTTTACAAAATATAATTGTTCATACATTAATCTCCTTGATTCTTTTACACACATACATGCGATCTCATGTTACTCGTACATGTCACAGTGATAATTTCATTCCAGTAAACATATGTATGTCAGTAAAGCTAAAATAGAATCGATATCACATACAATGCACATTATTAGACATTACTATTAACGATTATTATTAATAATTATAGGAATTAGATTAATTTTTGGATTATTTAATTCGGTAATATTCATCAGACAGTAATACAGGAAAAAAAATGACTACTATTTCAATTTTTCAATATTTAATTGGCGAATATTCTCTTGGGGTTAGTAATATCAACAATTTGGCTTATTGGCAATATTTATTTATTGAATTGAGGAAAAAATACCCCATAAAATTTATCTTTGATTGAATTTTTTATTCGGCATCAATATTGGTCTACATATGTATGCATATATAAAATTATTATTTTTTAATAATGTAAATATCATGATATAAGAAAAAATATTAGAAAATTTACAAATATTATAAACAATATAAAGAAATAAAACGTGATTTAAACAGAATTTTTAATTATTTGAATATGAACGATAACGTTATAATTTTCTAAAAAATTTATGTTGATAGATTTTACATTATATGCTTTTACATATGCTTTTACACTATATATGCAATGTATATATAAAGAAAAAAATGTATAAAAACCGACGAAAAATGACTTAAATTAAAAATGTTTTGAAAATATATTTAATCAGTGATATGCTAGAAATATGAAATAAAATTATATTATTATTTTAATATTATGCGAGGTTAAATTATATTTAAATTAAAAATTTTTTGAAAAAAAAAATATTAAAATATATATCAAATGTAGGCATGCAAATAAAAAATTTGTAAACTTTTTCATAGAAATTCACATCATTAACTTACGATGCTAAAAACACAAAAAAAATGCTTTTATAATTAAAATGCTAATTAGAATTTGCTACAAATTTAAAAGTTATTAGAGAAACAATAAACATAAAAAATAAAAAATTTTATTTTATTAATTCCTATTATCTGTCCTCTCCCAATTGTTTCTTTAACATTTTTAATGACAAATATGCACGGAAAAAAATGAGATTGACGTATCTCGCTAATATTACTTCGCGAGCTACATAATATCTTCCGTGATAGACAGCGCATATCGCTTATATACTTGCTGCTTAATGAAGGGAGGAAGAAAAAAAAAGAGCTCTAGAAAACAAGGGAAGAACAGTGACGATGAGGAAAAAACTTTGTGTGACGTATACACGAAGGTGGATGATGAACAAGTGTTACGTCGCACGAAACCGCACCGTGCAACGAGCGTATATCTCGTGGTGCATGCAACCAACTAGTATAGAAGAAAAATAATATATAACAAGCCGAGAAAGGCGGAGAGAAATAAGTAAGAGGCTAAATCTTATGAGAATCAAGGAGAAAAGTGTACGAGCCTTAGCGTTTGATGATCTCACGCATCTGCCGTGTCCGCACGTTTTGCAATTACGTACGTTCGTGGGCGTTTGTGTCTCTGTCTGATTGTTGTTTTTGCGTGCAATTACGTAAGTGTGTACGTGGGTGCATGCTGCTGTAAAATGTTATCATCCTTTTGAGTAAAAAAACCCATGCCTTCTATCCCTTTACGTGTGCGTATGTGTCTATACGTGTATGTACAGTTTTGTTGATGAATTGCTGAATGAAGTCCTGCTTTTATTCAAGAATTATTAATTTTTAACTCACACAACTATAATTTTCATAATTAATATTTTTTAACGAAAAACGCTGAGAACATAATTATCATATTTCATGATATTATCAATCAAAAAAGAATAATCTTAATTTTAATCTTAATTTAATATATACATACTTATAAATAATGTCCAGCGACAATAAAAATGAAAGAAATATTTGAATACAAGAATTTGAAAATATTCTTTTATCTTATTTTATCTTTATATAATAAATAATTTTTTAATCAATCTTTTTTATTTTTATCTTACTTTTAATTTCCATATTTTTCTAGAAACACAAAATTAGGATTATTGCATTTTTAATTAAATAATAATTTAAAAAATAGAGACATGGCAGATCGATGTTATCTTAGACAATAGAAAGATCATATTACATTCTGAGAACTAAGTGACTATTAATGCAGTTGTGTTAAGTAAGACGTATGTTCACCTACTGCTCGTGATTATCGATATAACGACAGAAGTGCCTGCCTTAATGCGGGCTTCCGTGCAAACGATACGATCTTTGAGGGTGGAGTTTGCAGATCACGAAAGAGAAACTGGCTTGTCTCGGTCCGCGTTCCAACCGTGATAACGTATCATATAAATGGCCACAATCGTCTGCGAAAGGTGTAACTTTGATGAGACAAAATCGATTGTGCCAATAGGAAAAATAATGCATTATAAAAAATTTTAAGTATATTATCATAATATGTTGCATTACTCGATAGTTTTCTTATAATTATCAATTCTTTTGCTATAATATTTCTATATTTTATATTCAATTGCAAAATTCTAGGTAAAATTTTATAACAAAGACTGTTATAAAATTACAAACATGCAATAACATCTTACCTCTCTGATGATCTTGCAATTATTAATGGTGCCGATGTGTGAGAACAAAGCACATAACAAACTCTCCGACACTGCATGATCCAAGTTGCCAACATACCTAAATTAACAACAATAATTAAAAAAGTAAATGCTCTGTTATATATGTAGTTGTAAAGAAATTATATTGCATATATACATGCGAGCATTTATAAGCAATAATATGTATTAATTTATTTTTGTCAAACATGATTTTAAAAAATTTCTAAGAACATGTTTTTTTAAGATATTCTTTATGATTATAATATTACATTTTATGTCTAAAAATTATATCTATTTGAAAACAATCGGAATCATTAAAATAAGTTATGTACAACAAAAAAATAACTATTTAAAAAAACCTATTAATTTGCAATTTATAATTAATTTTGAATTCGAATTTGCGATCGCTAAATCTTAATAGAGATTAGTATAGTCACGAAACGGTGAGTTGTTCCAGAAAATATAGCGGGGGATGGATACGTGCCAGAAATCCATATGTCCGACGGCCGAATTAGAGCGGAAATAGGCAAAAATCCAAATTTCCGAAATGTATACCATACACGGTGGTATGTACCGCACGATAAATTCTAAACTCGTAGTCGAAGTTCGATTTCCGTAATGGAAGAACAATGAAGAGTGCTTCAGGAAACAATACGATAATACGGGCGGCTGTTACGTGAACGGAGCAAGAATAGAGCAGCAGTAAATGTCATCGGAGTCGCGCATAAAGTTGCCATTAACTCGTTATACGTATCGTGGAATAAAACGCACCGCAATACGAACATACATAAACTAAGCTCGGATGACCATAATACTTCTTCATTTAATCACTGGAAGAGGAGCTTGATGCGCGGAAGTAAGAATATTAAGAGAACCATTAAATTGGCTATGTAATATTCTAAGAGAGATGAAAATATATAACACTCAAACCACAGTCCAGAATTTATCTTAAACTACGTGTCTTGTATTAAATATACCCATAAACATAAAAGCGAAATTATGAAAACTAGCAAAATTACAAATAGATCAAATATTAAAACAATCTCAAATATTTAGATTTAGAATAATCACAAAATCAAGAAAATTTAATTGCTTATGTTTAAATATCAGAATAAAATTTTTACATTTATATACATTTATATTTATAAACTTTATATGACATATGTCCACAAGTAATATGATTTTAAATAATTTTCAAAGAGATTTATTATTCTTTATTATTTTCTATTATTTTATTATAATTAAAATAATTTATGTACATCTTTTTAAGATAATATGTAAATGCAAACATAAAGTTACCTATTATAAGAGAGCTTTTCTAATTTGAGGAGATGATGTTTTTTGCTTGGCAAATGCTTTAATTTAGCAGTTCTTTATGCAATACGTAGAGAAATCCACATCTTCTATATAATACGTAATAGCCGTAGTTTGTCATTGACAGTAAGCCACGTGGTCGTTTGTATAATGAGAATTGTTAGAGTTTCATTTTGTTTAGATATTAGTGAATTTTGAGTGAAATAAGAGATTTTTACAAATATGATTAGCCAGTCGTATTCTACATATTATGAATTTTTTATTTTTAGTATAAATTTCATTAATCAGTTGAAAAATTTATAATAAAAAGTAAAATCTCCTTGAAGCTATTAATTTGCCTATTATGGGAAAATGAACAGTTGCCTAATGTTCATCTTCTCTTTATTTTTATAATCTATTTAAATATTAAAAATTTGATTACCTAATAAACTTATGATCCAAAATGAGGCAAAATATTTTATTTTCAACTTTTGAATAATAAAATAATTTGTTAAGCATCTTTTAAGCATTTAAACTAACATTTTTAATAGTTTTACGAACACTTTTTATTTTAATATTTATAAGACTGATATAAGTTTATTTAAATTGTCTGAGATTTAAATTGGTTTTGATACTTTTTATGTGTTTTTTGATATTTTTTTATAGACTTTGAAAACTTCCCATATTAGAAATCCCTATACTTTTCTAAACCGCGGATATGCTTGTCGTTGAAAAAGAATTTTTACGTTTAAATTTTTAATAATATGCTCTTTCAGTTTTATTTTTATTTTACGTTAAAATTTTAAGTATTCCATAAAAATTTTATTTCGCTTAATTATATATTTGTTTCTTATCAATTTTTCAAAAACATTCTCAAAATAGATAACCCTATTAATAATGCAAATTCGTGAAAGATATTTTGTAATCGATGTGTAGCTTTTTTATGTGCATTGTATGTTTTTTTCTATACATATAAATTATTTGAAATATATTATTATAAAGTTATAAAAACAATATTATAAAACAATACTTACAAAGTTTTTGGCGTTATATCGTTCGACATATTGATGAATTCACAATTATCTCACGCCGCGATGCGAGCCGCTAAGCACAGCAGCTTTCCGCACACTTGCACATTTAGAATCGTATAATTTTACTTAAATACATCTCTCTTATGCACAACTAGAGCATAGAAGGTCTAAAGTCTCCTAATAATGGAATTGCAAGCTCTTAGCGCGTGCGTGAATCTTACAGACTGCCAAATAGTCTGCTAAAGTAAAGAATTAGGCGGCAAATTTTAATTTTGAATTATATTTTCTAAGTTAAAAAATGATGTAATTAACTTATATACAAATTTCTTTTTCTAGACTTTAAAACTTTATTACAACATTTTGCATAAAGATTGACAGTTTTGTTTAAATGTATGTATGTAAATAGTATGTGAATAGCATTTATATAAATATTGATTTTCTCTTAATAATATTGATTTTTTTAAGATTTTTTCATGTAAAATAAGATGAAATATAACGTTTTTTAAATGCTAATAATTGATTTGTTGTTTGCATACAGTTCCTTATGTATATGACACAATAAATATAATCCATCGTTTTAATAAAATTATGTTAACAATATCTTTATCAATTTCTTCAGAAAAATGAAGAAAAACATATTTTTCTTATGATAAATTACCCTGCCATCGTCAGATACTATAAATAATTAGTGAATAGCTATCGTAAATGTCGTAAAGTTTTTCCGAAATGTAAGTCACTTTTATTGAAAAACTTATAAAATCGTTTCCTTATCTCACTTTATATAACTGCCACTGAACGTAAACGTCTGTCTTATAATGTATGTATGAGTATCTTTCCGCATGTTGAAAAGGGAAACATAGCTACATGTCATGCACACAATGTAGTAAAGCATAACGAATGGTCAGACAGCTAGACTTGAATAGCATTGTGTGTGAAAGTAATACGTATAATAACATATTTTTTTCTAACGAGAAAAAGAGAGAAGAATTGCCTTTCCTAAAATATTTCATAAATAATAGTATTAATAATATTAATTTAACATATATAGTAATATTAATATTTTTTAAATTTAACATTTTTTACGATACAATTTAAATGCCATGCAATTTATCTTTATAGATTCTCGTATTTATTTTTTATGTATTTAATAGAGATATTTATCTTTAAATTTATGCGTTCTTTTTAGATAGTTACATTAACATTAATGTAAAAGGAAGTACATGAACTTTATTCTCTCGATGTCTATATAGTTTCATGATTCTTGTTATAATTTGATAAAATTACAAAAAGATTTATGTACAACGTGACTTTTCGTGTGCATGATTATTCGCGTGACAATATAGGCTCGGCCGTACGTATTAAACGCCGTCACGTAAAAGCCGCCACTTAATTTCTCCGCAATTATAACGTATGCGGGTCACCGTGAAACGTGCCGACCGAAAAATCCTACGTCGAAAAATTTGAAGGAAACATATTTCAAAGTCACCCCCGATTAGATGGTGAGGATATAAAATAGTAGTCGATCAGCGACGTCAACTTTACGGATCGTGCCCACAGCGACCACAGTTGCATGTCGAAAGCGGTGCCTTTCGGAACCGCCGAGAAGCCACGAAGTACCGCGAAAAACTTAGTTTTGCGAGGACGATAAATCATCTTGAAATTCGCCAGGGCTGACAGGCATGTAGTTTTACGAGAGCCTGCACGCAAAATGCAAAGCAGTCTCGAACCTGGTGGGCTTGCACCGCAATTAATTAGCGTTTCGTGATAGCCGTGCATGTGCCGAAGCATTCTCTTTTTTTTCTTCTAGAATCGCTAAAGCTGCTCGCGCGATAAGGTGACGCTATTCGTTGATCCGATTGAACATGTAACACCATTTTAAAGAACATATCGGCATTGCTCGACTGCACGATATCGAGATTATTGCCGAAGTTTTTCATAATTATGTCACGTGCTTCTATAGTTACCCCTGAAATGTACTTGGAATTAATACTGTTAATATGAATCATTTTAATATTGTAATTAATATCGATCAATTACAATTAATTTCAATAATAGATTTGCTTTATAATATACATATGCGTAAATTTATAATCAAATTACATGAAGGAATAAAGATGCGAAAACGTAAAAGAATACAGTAATTTATTAAAATTTGCGCATACATAAGAATCGAAATTAGTATTTTTTTATAATCTGTTTAGACAAATTATAAAAATTTATATAATCTATATTTTTATTTAACTATGACGTATGTATATTTACATGTCATTTCATATTTACGCATTTTCGTTCCAATATATATTTTCTCTATATAACATTTTATACATACCTTTAGTCATACAACATCTTGTCAAAAATAATATGTACGAATATATATTAAATATGCAAATAAACTAATAAATTATCAATTATTTAAATCATTGAATTTTTTAATCTTAATATCCTTTTGTTATTCATACCTAACGACTGATTTGTCGCTAAACTAAAAGTTATTAGAGAGAGGAGAATTGTTCACATAGGCCGATTTTGTAATATAGTGCAATTAATATTTTATATCTATATATATGTATATATATATATATATATATATATATATATATATCTTAATTAGTGTTTTGTGATAAAATTTACAAATAATACAAGAACATTATAAAATACAAAGTTTGATTTTTTTCTATACTCCATTTCTCCTTTTCAATATCAATGTTAGACGTAGCCTAATCTTTTTGTTTTAAATATCAAAAATAAATTTAATTCTTCTCTCAATGTGATTTATTATCGCGTTGAGAAAGAAATTAATTTTATTTCTGTTATAATTCAAATTCAAAAAGTAAGATACGAGAGATGTGTTGTCGATCATGATTTTGGTACAAAACCAGTCTTAGGTGGTGGACCAACAGATTTGCTGGATATGGGCACTGTAGGATCTACTCCCATAACAGATGCTCCTGCATTGCTTTCATTATTCGACAACGCAGTTGCTAAATTCAAAGATGGTGAAGGAGACATTCTCTCAATTGACAATGTCTGCTGAGGAAGCTGCGCATCTGTCTGAATACCTCTAGATCCATATATTTCCTTCAGAATCAAGAGGATAGTATCTTCAGATTCCCTAAAATTAATCAAATAATATTAAAATAAGTACGCAATAAATATAACAATATATTTCTCGCAACAAATGTATTGAGATTTACCAGTAACAGATATGGCTTGTAAGAGCAAAGATATATTCATTAATATATTCGAAAGGCGCTTCTTGAAGAACATAATCTATTCTTCGGCCATGATTAAGTTTTCCTATTTTTAAATTGGCACCATTATCATCATTGTTATGTTGATCTGGTACACTAGGCTGTTTCTGTAACTGTTCTTCGACAACTTTATCAATCTCACGTTCCAAAGCTTGATTGTCTGGCTTGTGAAATAAGGCTAACTGATAAAAAGAATTCCACGTGTGTTTCACGGAATCAATTAACTTTTGTTTCAAATCTGCTCCGACTCGTGCCATCGTTTCCTTTAATTCTGCAAATTATAAATATATTAATATATACATTTTTTAATCAAAATTTATATTATCATAAATATATATTATAAAAATAAAAAATTTTTAAACTCACCTAAATGCATTCTTTTCCTGCCTTTATGATGTGGTATCAACATAGGTCGAAATTTATGAGCTTCAGGATTGATCAAGGATTCTACTCTGTAAGCTACCGGATCAAAAGGATGAAAAATGTTGAAGAAAGCCGGACAAGTGGGTAGTGCAAAATCTTCTCCGAGAGTATCAATTCCGCGAACAGTTACAAACATGCCAATCGGACTGCCGAGAGCAAAAAAGGCACGCGGGTGAAAATTGAGTTGCGGATAATGTATATAAGGTTGGCCAGTTCCTGCCGCGCCCGTTACAACATAACTGATTCTTCTACTTTGATGTCTTTTCAGAACGGCTGCTGGCATTGGCTTAATGGATCCAATACTGTCATTTTCCTACGATAGCGCCATAAAAGTTTTATTACTTAAATATTTCAAGTTGAGATAAAATGTATTCAAATTATCATAAAATCGAGTAAAAAAACGGTAATATTTTTTCTTTACTTACGCCTTCCCTGTCACTATTATCGTCCGTATTATCATCGTTTTTCTCGTTTTCTTCTTCTTCTTTCTTAACAGGTTTTTGATGGCACAGTAGATCGAACAAAATTAAACTGCCCAATGAATGACCACCTAAGTATATTTCTCCGTCAAAGGTAGGATTTCTTTCTTTGAATAGAAAATGCAATCTATTTATCTCACTTCCGACGGTGCGCATAATAGTTTGACAATATACAGGACTAGTATAGAAAAGTATATCGAGTAAGGTATCGTTAGTAAAATGCCGTAACTTTGGAATACTCTCCAATGTAATAGATTGCAATTTTTTGTCGATTCCCGTATCCTCGGAATGAAGTGTTGTATGCCAAGAGATTGGCAAAACTTCTATTCTGTTTACGATTCCTTGCTCGCTCGTAGTGCGGTAATGTGACTGCACCAATTGAAGTGATATACTTCGAAATTCATCGACTGAAAAGTTTATAAATATAAATATATCGAAATTAGATATTTATATAAATTTGACAGATAATTATTATAATTAGGTTATTTGCATATTTAATATTACATTTCTTAGAACTTACCAACTTCTTCTACAGTGCGGAATTTCAGATCACAAACACTGCCTATACCATGAACGACAAATAGAAGATGATCTACTTTCTCGGGTTCACCCTCCTCTATGTTGAATTCGTCGACTCCTCTTTTAACAACTCTTGGTCTACTTGCAGAACCCTGTAAATATGTACTGTCCTCTGAACCCTGTAGGAATTAGGATCCACCATTTCAAACAGAACCATGCGCGTAATATAAAAAAACGCGTACACTTTAGCCCGTGAAATAATTTACTAAAGAAAGAAAATACTAAAGAAAGAAAATAAGATATTTTAAAATACAATAAAGCGTAAATTGGAAATGTGTGTGTGTTTGTAATAAAATTAAGCTTTTAATAAATATAAGCTTTTAATAATTAAATATAATTTTTTAAGTTAAAATGTTATTAAGACAAAATTAAAAGCTTAATTATGAACTGTAAAGCAAAGCATTTTTAATATTAAACATATAAATTGCATAACAAAAAGTAATTTTTGATCATTTTTAATAGCTCGTTGATTCTATTTTAATGAAATGTAATAATATGAAATGCGTAATTAATGACATCGGAATAAATTGCACAATATTTTAACAACAATAGAATCTAAAAACCTATGAGTAAACATTTTGATACAAAATTCACGTAATTATATATATCATATTATAAAATTAAATTTCTCAATCAAATATTTCAAAATATAAATTATTTCAATTATTATAAAATTTCATTTTATATTGTTAAATTTATATTATATACAATTTGTTACTTACTGCGCTATTTCCCCAGGATCCTGCCAAATCGGGCGAAGTTGGTTGTAGATAGTGAACCTGGACTGTTGCGCTATGGAAGATAACATATTCTCCATTATTCAGATCAATTCTTCGATTCCAATTGTTTGTAAGACATGCTTGTTTGTATTCCTCCTCGAGCTTTACAGCAGTGCTCTCATTATAAGGAATGTATCTCGATTCGCTTGCTCCTTTGAAGAACCAAGAACATCGCCGAACTTCAGTAGATGCACCGGTCCAATATACAGGCACTCTTTGACGACGCAAAATATCGACATCATAACGACCACCTTCAGTAGCTACTGTAGTTTCAGGCGTAATATCAGTAGAATTATGTATTTCTTCTAATTTTAAACTATCCTGCATAGAGAACGGAAGCCATAGTGTTTTGTTCTCCACTTCTTTGCGGTAGAACCAATGTTGATATACTGGTCTGTATTGCATATGTTTATCGGAAGATGCAGCAGCCTAAAAGGTATTTATTTTTCGTGAGTATAAAATATAGTTAAAAATGTGTACTAATAATAAATAAATACAAGTACAAAAATCTTGTCTAAAAAAATTATTAATAAAAATATAAAGAAATATATAAATTAATGATATATATAAAGAAAATTTATCAAATTTACTAGTAATTTACATTTAGTTACAATATTCTGGCCTTATAAATAAATTAGAAATATGGTGTGGCGAGATATTCTTACCAAATTTTGAAAACTCGGTGGGATAGTATCTGGCGTAGTACGATTAATCGGCGCATTAACCGATATTTGAATAGGATTGAGTGTGGCTGATCCCGTCGGTTCAGGTATTGCCGTTACCATCGAGACTGCAGGCAATGCGGAATATGAGGTATTATCTTCATGAGCAGTGTAAGATTGTAATCCACTGTTATTCTCATACGAGGATGGATTTTGATACGATTGTTGTTGAGAAGATTGTTGACTGTATGTATGTGAAAAAGTTCGTTGTTTAGATAATTCATTCGTAAATTGAGCAGGATTATAAAATGTTGGGGCCAATGATTGGCTCGTCGCAGTACATACTGGCTGGTTGGATATAGTGTTTAACACCTGCGATTGAGAAGATTGATCGGCATTCCAAAATGGTGCGTGAATTGTGGAATTAGCCGCTGTAGAATTAAAAGTCAAATTTTCTTGAACCTGCTGCGGATTATTTGTAGTAGCAACTATTAAAGTACTTGGTTGACTAAAAGAAGAATTTATATTCTTCTCTTGACAAAAATTGGAAAATCCGTCTGGTTTTGTCGATTCAAAGAACACGCTTGCCGAAGGCTCCGTTGGTTTCGGCGGATTGTAAAAATTATTTTGCGGAAGTTGAACGGAAGGCGGTATGTAATTCAAGCTTGATCTTTGATCTGCAGGTCTGTCTGCATAAAAAGAGCTTGGCATAGATGTCGATTGCAATTGGAAATATTCTTGAGGCAAATGTGTGCTCAATTCAGCCGCTTGGTTATCTGTCACGACGGAATTGTTATCAGCCGTATGTACTTTTGGACAGATTACCGATTCCGCCGCTGGCTCTTGCCCAAGAAATACGTCACTCCAAGTGTCACTTCCAGGCTGAGCGATTTTCTCTTGAACGTCATTTAACTTCGCCTTGTATGATTCATCGATGAACTCATTTGTAGCCTGCGGCGTCTCGTTTTGCGGTTCGAAAGATTTCGTTGATTCAGTAGTAATGCTAGACGTAATTTCATCAATTTTTGAAAATGTTTCAGGAGTTGTTGAAGGAAAATCTCCCTTTTGCTCTGCAAGTAAATGTTCTAACTTTTCTGTCACCTTGGCTGCTGATATCGGCGTAAATATCGCTTTTGTCTCTTTTGTTATCAATGGCGATTTATGTGCGGATTCTGTAGTTGTCTCGGGAATACTGTCTCTCGAAAATTCCGACGTTGATTTTTGTTGATTTGGGTTTTTAAACGCAGCAACTTCTTTATCTAAATTGGATGAATTAGATGTCGGTAAGATATCTCGATTCACGTAAGGTGTAAAGCCGGGGAATGAGATGTTCGCCGGAGTGTTCTGTGGTGTTGTGGGCTCCAATATTTGCGTAGGTATTGGTCTTGATAATGACGAAACAAATTGAGATGGCGTGGATAGGGAAGAACTTTCGGAAAATTGATTTTGAGTTGTGGGTGCTACAGATGAGTTATACGTTGCTTCTGTTGTGACTAAATTGGATCGAAATGATGTATGAAGAGAGCTGTTCCCCGATGGCGGCTCAAACTTTGGAAGCTGTTCAGGTAAAGAACTAGTTTGTTGTACGCTGGAATTGTTATCCTGTACTGATCCCTCCGATTTAAACGGATTTAGAATGGTCGGCGATGCAGACACATTTTGAGTAGGAAAAAATGTTTGTACCGTTGGGTTCGGCTTTGCGTTGGTCGTCAAATCAGGTGGAGGCGCATACTTCAGGCGTCGTTGATTTCCAAGGCGATAAGAAATGGGCGCTTAAAAAAAAATAATAATAATTAATTCTAAAAAATGCTGTGAAAGCATAACATATTTGCTATATTATGTAATAGAATAAATTAAATAAAAAAACTAATTATGCACTTATGTAAACAGTGCAATAAATTAAAATTAAAAAATTGACTTTAGATCTCTACTAATTAAGATTTCTTGGAATCATTTTACATCATATTTTCTATATATCGATCAATTACTTATTCATACTTATTCATACATTGATTTGGCATAATTAATTGAAGATTTAATCAAAATTCGTTATAAGAAAAATTATATTAATCATTAATAATTTAATTATATTAATCATAATATACGTGATTTTTTATTATTGTATTATATTAATTATAACAATAATATAAACATAATTTTACGAGTTAATTGTAGACTCACCATAACCAGGTTGAGATAAATTGGGTGGAGCTGCGGGCTGCGGAGGATTCGATACAGTATCAGTGGGACCGAAAGCAGGAAATCCTGATAAGTTCGTGCTTTGAGGATTCTGAGAATTAATCGCTAAGAATCCTGGTATTTCTGATTGAGAACCATGCTGTCCTTGTGGGGATATATAAGGATTAGATTCATGTATCACTCCGCTTGAAGTGTTATCGATTGTTTGATTTATTTGCGATCCTAAAACGTCATTTTTAACTGATGACAGCGATAAATTCGGTAGAGAAGAAAGGATTGTCGTGAAATATCCTGATTTTGCTGACTGATTCACTGTATCCTTATTTTCCTTTGACTGAAAAGATGTATCCGAGGGAAAGTTCTCCTGCGTCTTTAATGGAGACTGGAATTGAATATTAGGTTCCTGTCCTATGAAGTTGTCGAGCTCGGCATCTAGAAGAAAATGATTTAACTTAGACGATAATTATCGAGATTTTTAATATATTTGATTTTCTGATATATTTATATATATTTGTATACGAGGAATATATATAAAAATATAATTTTTCATCTGTATCACTATTGCAAACATCTTGCAATAATACACTGAAAAAAAGTAATGTTGAATTAACAACATGAGTGTAATTGGAATGTATTTTATTAATTCAATAATATCATTAATCAAATCATTACATGGTATATTGATTTAATTAAAAATGTTATTGAATTAATAAAATAGATTCCAATTACACTGATGTTGTTAATTCAACATTACTTTTTTTCAGTATGTGAACGTAAAAAAATGCTTAAAATAAAAAATTATATAATAAAATTAAATTTTTCTTAATAATATTTTTATGAGTATTTGTCACTTGAAATTTTGAATTTTAGAAAACTGCTTCAAGATCTTTAAAAATTGAGAAACAATATATGTACATTTAATCTTTCCTAGTCAATCGGATATATTATCGTATCCACAAAATACCTTTAGACAACTAAATTTTCCATATTATTCATGAAGTGTCAATATTAGACAGGATGCAATGAACGTAAGAACTTATGACGAAGATAATGCTAACCGATAATACTCCTACTCTTTGACATAATTTGTTAGACAAACATTCTAGGAGAGATTTTAAAATTATTATTTAATGCATTGATATAACTTATTCATGAGCACAAATCCTCAGTTTTAAGCGTAATTTATAATAATTAATAAATAGTACTTGTAAAATTAAGAAGAAACTCATTAATAATTTTCAAAAGTTCATACTTGCATTAATGAATACTAATTCCTTGGCATCTCATTAAGTTTTAAAAACAAGCAATCTATACCCTAATAAGAACACTTTTTTATGCTTGTATCTATTCAATAAAAAAATTTATTTGCAATTTTTATAATCAGAAAAATATGCAGTATCGTTAAATTTTAATATTAAAATATAAAACTTATAAAATTTGATGTACTAATAAGATATATTAAAAAATATATATAATATATATTAATTAATAATATATATTAATTAAAGAAATATATTTAAAACTTGTTATACAAATATAAATAATCAATATATTCAAAATTTGTTTTTCTTTTAATAATGAAAAGCATTTATCCTTTTTTCTCAATATAACTTTAAAACATTATGCGAAACATATGTATTATAAATATTGATCACATATTATAAATCAAGATGAATTTAATCTGAGATGATCATATTAAATTCTATTAAATGTTGCAATATTTATAAGTTTATTTAATTGTGTAAAAAAACAACCTTTAACGAGAATATTCTCATAACGAGATACTTTCGAGATTGTGCAAGGCACACGTTAACGCCCAGATTTACTTTTGCGCTCGTGTTATCATCAATGTAACTGAACATACGTTACCTCTTCGGTAAACTTACGCGCACAAAACTTTATAAGTACGTCACCCACATTTTTACATTTAGTCTTTCCGTCGAATCTTTTCCGTACGCTTTCATATAATGGAATCACGCGTGTATTTGCTTTTTGTAATATATTTTGTGACTTGCATTTTACATAAAAATGCATTCAGTGAATCAACGTCCTCAAAAATAATCACGTCATTTAATAACGCTTCTCAATCGGACGCTCCGTTACGAACCATGGAATCAATTGAAATGGTAACAAGATTGAATGAGATGACTCTAAAAGATGACAAGCCTAAACCTGACATTTCATTGGAATCTTCGAAAAATTTATCAGAGAGAATAGAAAACGAAAAAAATTTCTTAAAATCAAGTTGTTTTAGGTTTGTTAAATCAATTTGTGCGACATATCATAGACTTAAAACAAGAATATTTATATAGATAAAACTTTTATATATATTATATTTTTATATATATTATATTTTTTTCATTCAATATTATCTTCTATATATATATAAAATATTAGTATCTTTAAAATAATATTTTTATTGTAGTTATATATATATATATATATATATATATATATATATATATACATATATATATAACTACAATAAAAATATTATTTTAAAAATACTAATATTTTTTTTTATAAAATTAACAAAATTTTTCTGTTGAAAGGTATTGCATACAACAAATGGAAACTGATAAAAATAATTCTGTCGTTGAAGATATTAATCTTTTCTTGTCATTCATGCTCGCGTGCACAGGAAATGAAAACAAAGAGGATAAAAATTTCAACAGAGAGATATTACGTAAATAATTTTTGTTTTGATTATCAATATTATTGACGTTGCTTATCATATTCGATTAAATATTGACGTATATAAGTCTTACAAATTATGCTATTACTCTTATTGTTAGTTTAGCTTTTAACACTAGATATCTTGAAAATAACCAATGACGTATAATTAGTGTTATTTTAAATTATTAAGATTACAACATTTTATATGACAACAATAATCTTATTATAAAAAATATGTTAAATAAATGCATGTGCCGTAACAAAGTTGATTTAAAATACAAATCATATAAATCATTTTTATATGATTATTTATATAATTATTATAATTATTTTTAGATGATTTTTTATTTGGCAATAATCGGAATATGAAGATAATAAGACATATATCTATCAATAATAAAAATTCAACAAACTTAAACATTTGTGAAGTAAGTTATTTTTAGAAAAATGTCAGTTTTGGTAAATATTATAACATATTTATTAATTAGAAATTTATCTTGAACTCTAATATTATAAATATTATAAGTGTTATAATATTTATAGAGCTTATTTAAATGGATAATGTTTATTTAAATAATAATATTTATTTAAATTTAGAATTTAATCAAGGCATTAAAGACATTCAAAATTCATACTTTAAAGCACTTATTATTTATGTATTAAAAAAATAATAAAGCTTCACATATCTACATATCAAGAAAGATTATTATAAAATATATATTATTTACAGAAAAAAAAGATTGGTGCACAAAGAGTTAATTATACCGAAATCTCTTTAGATGCTAATGTAACTCAAATTGTAATCAGCATTTTGAAAAATTTTTCGCAGACGGTTCTCACTACATATATAAGTAAGTACACATAACGCGCACATGCTTTGTTCTTTTATTTATAAACACAAGGAAAAGACAGATTTACATTTTTATTCTGTATATATGTGCGTTTTAAATGTTAATCTTTAATTCCATATATACTTTTTTAATCATTTATGAAAAGTATTATTTCAACACGTTTACAATATATTGAAAAAAATTTATTTAATTGATCTTAAATAAGATTATTAAATTTTATTTAATCTTGCAATTAAAATAATAGGACAGAATTAATTAATATAGCGTGAAAATATTACATCAATATGTATTATTCTATTTATGCAGTGCTAAATTTTTTAATACATTCTATATCATCTTGTCCTATATCTATTCTACTTTTTTCTATTTTGAGAAATATCTTTTGTGCAAGAAAAATATTATTCGAACTATAAAAAATTATAGATTGCACTAATCTTTTGCTGATATATTTTTCGATTATTAGATATATATATATAACAGTATCATTACATCTATCTAACCTTCATACACCAAGGGCAATATTGATCGGGTGATTGTCTGCTTCGTATTCGTTGTATTACACTGACTAACCACTCACACAAGAATACACATACTTACGCTTATAAATATTTTTACTCTTATTGAACAGGCAATATTGAACAAACTTTTCCTGTCACGAAACATCTATAATCGGTAAAATCAATTCGGGTTAAAATAATATAAAGATGAGATTTGATGATTTCCTTATCGACAAATTATTTACTTTTATCGTCAATTTTAATTTACTATCCAAATCATCGAAATGTTTCATTCAGAAACAATTTTCACTTCCTAAAGCACATTAACAGACAGAGTGACACGGAAACTAGGAATAATAATATTGGCATGTATGCATGACACGAAAAGGGTAGTTCGGCGCGCGCAACCTGCCACCAAGAGGGTGGTGCGTGAAGCTAATAGGAGTGGGAAATTTAAAATATAACTTTAACGTAGTCATTTTGTTTAATAAAAGTAAGAATAATATTACGAAAAATATTAAACTAACAAATTGTCATCGAAATTACAAATTTCATATAACACATATGTTATAGTAATATAAAATTATAAACTTATTTTATTAATATGTATGTATTAAATTCATTTAAAAATTTTTATTTTTTTCATGACAAGTTCTTAGTAAAATACTAAAATACTATATGAACTAATCAATAACAAAAATATATCAATTGTAATTTTTTTCTTTTTATAACAGCTATAAAGTTAAATAAAAATTAAATAAAATAAAATGGAATATAAAATAAGAATAATTCAAAAATTTTTACTAATTATTGCATTTATAAGCATGAATATAATTTTTATAAAAATTCTATGAGTAATGCAATATTACTTTAATATAAAAAATCAATTTAATATCGTTAATAATAAAAGATCAAATAAATCTTGTAAAGCAATTATCTAAAAATAATTGAAAAACTAATAAATAGCATATCAATGTATTAACAGTGCAGTAACTAAATAATGATAAATGATTAACAATAGAATTATAAACGATATATATCTCGCAACTTTATTACAGCTGTGCATAAGAATCGGAAACATATATTCATATATCACGATAATTAATCGAGTTTTTTCTTCAAATAGAAAAAGAAACACTCACACTTTTATCTTTATGCGAGTCAATCGCAACTTAACCATCAACAAAACACGTGAATTGCTCTTGAGTCTACACGTACTCTTGCGTGGCTGCCAACTTCCTCGGCAGCTGTCTTACAACTGCCAATCCGTCGCTTTCTGGCTCGTAGATACACACGAGATTGTGCAATCACGTTGCTCTTTGGCCACGGCTCTCGCTCACACATTCTCTCTCTTTTATTCTTGTTCATTTGCATCCTTAAGCATATTAAAAAGAGAATCCATACAGAAAGAAATAAGATATTTAAAAAAATTGTTTCCTGTTTTTAAAATGCGACATTTAAGATAAAATCAAAGAAAAACAGATACGTTCGATCACAAAAAATGTGTGTTTAAACCGATACCGGTATTTCTTGTCTTGCAAATAAAATTTACACAACTGTTTTCGGCCGTGCCGTATAATCTCTCGAAATTTTGCCAAAGTTATTATTATTTGCGTAAATATATTTTTAACCAAATTTATTCTCATATATTTCTGTTTCTATTAACATTTAGTAAAATTAGTTGTCATTTTGAAATAATTATAATTATTTCAATGTTTATCTATTTTGTATAATTTCGAATTTTGTGTCTTTTCGAATTTTTTTTATATTTATAACTTTGTATTATATTTTTAATTATTCTTTAATTTCAATGTTGCAACAAACTTCAATAGAAGTCTTGCTTTCACTTTCATTGGTATAGAAAGTTAAATAAAGCCTTTGCAGTTATATTTGTGCATCCAAAGCATGAAATGGATGAGTTCCGGAAAGAAAATGTTTGTGCATCATTTGACACATTTTAAAAAAATTGATATAATACGTATATCATAAGCAATAATATAAAATACTAAAAGAATATAATATTATATTATTATATATAATATTATTATTACATTTAATATTACCTATTATATTTAAAAAAATATATCATTATAAATTCTTATTTACTATTTCTTCCAGAAATCAATACAGAAAATAACTTTAATGAGATATTAGATGAAGACACACAAAGCAAAGCAACGAATATAAATACTAAATTCAATAATTTAAAAGAAGTAAGTTGAATAAGCAACATATTATCTTTTTATGATTATGCATTACCATACATAATCAAGGTATACATAACGGATTTTACATAATCATTGAAATTATGTATATATTCTACAGAATGCTGCTGAGAATATTGATAATAATCGAACCAATATATATGCAATACCTGTCATAAATTCTAAAATAAATAAAAGATCAAAGTTTGCGCACGTGGAAAGATCTGCAGAAATTATGAATGAAAAAATAATAAATAACGAGGATGAAATAATGACGGAAGATTTCTCAAATGTATTATTGCCTTCGGTCAAGTCTACTATAGCAAAAAACATTGCCAATTATTCTATTTTCTCTTTACGTAATAATCTGACTAGTTATGGTGGTAATATTAAAATTCCACAGAATGTACCAAAAGATATCAAAACAAATGGAAAAATATTTACCGTAGTAAGGCATATACTTTAATAAATAGAAATAATAAAATACAAATACATATATTTTACACACACACACACACACACACACACACACACACACACACACACACACACACACACAGGGTGTCCCAAAATTCAAAATCAATCTTTCAAAGACAGATTTCTGAGATCATCTGAAAACGATTTTTCCTCAACGAAAATGTCGAGGCACTAATAATTTTCGAATTATAAGTGATTGGAAATAAGAGGTTTTTCGTAAACTAAGCTTTGTAGAAATAAAATATTAACAAAACTACATTCTTCGATTAATTTTAAATAGAGTTTACTTTAGTTGAGTTTTAATTTAAGACTTAATTGCAAAGATATATGATGGCAAAAATCGGGAACATGCAAAACATGATGACCTTCATCAACATTTTCATTCGACTGAGGAAAAATCGTCTCCAAATGATCCCAGGAATCTGTCTTTGAAAGATTGATTATGAGTTTGGGACATCCAGATATATTTATATCTATACTTATATATATCCTGTATATATATATATATATATATATATATATATATATATATACAGGATATATATAAGTATAGATATAAATATAAACATAAATATAAAATAAATAAAATTTTTATTGTGCAGGAGCAACAACAGAAAATTGAATCGCGATCATCGGAAATTGCATCATTAAATGAAGATATCGATACAAACGATATGAAAATATCTACTAGAAATAATATATTGATGGAAATACAAGATAGTGATCAAGATTTGTCAACGAAATTTACTCGAAATATTGGAGATATTTTAGAAAGGAAAAAGATATTTCTAGAAATTAATGCCAAGAGTAATTTGATTGCTACACCAGGAACAACACATAGAGTGTTTTTTGATGTAACGAATAGCTGCGTGCTTCCAGTTCGATATGCAATTCGAGCAAGAAGTTCACCATTTAGAATACTTAGTACGCAACCAATTTAGTACGTTCAATTAATAAAATACGTCGAATAATAGAAATAAATAACATAACACTAAAGATTTAAACGAGGATATATTGGCCAGTATTAACCGGAAAGCACTAATACATTTTATATATTCGTATGACGTATAGTATATTCACAATTTATATAATTATTTATAGAAATAGTATTCTCAATGTGCAAATATATAACTATTCATTAAATGAAAAATGCGAATATATAGTCTTGAATGCAGATCTCACATCAATAGCAAGGGACCTTCGACATTTGAGAATAAAAGAAAATCAATAATATTTATGGCCGCATAAATTTGTCGGCTTGAACTGGCTATATATGTCTTGTTTAAATGAATTAATGAATAATTATTAAAATTATAATATCATCAACTTCTTGATACTTTATAAATAATATGGATTATATATTTTGAAAACAAATTACATATTAAATTTTGTTCTTTAAATTTAAATAGATATTGTATTTCTAGTTTATGTGTGTATACATTCTTACATTTTAAAAATTTATTAAATTCTCTCAAGAAAGCAAGAGAATTATATTAGCAAGAGAAATATATTAGCGAACATAATTAACATAAGCGAAGAAAAACGTATATGAAAACTGTATTATTGTACATTATGTATTATTTTTGCATTTAAAATCTATCTTTATCTTCATTAATTTGTATGCAACAGCTTGTGGTTGTATCCACAACAGACAAATTATATAGCCGTGGATGTCGGTGTACCGTTAGGAACCCAAGAATCTGTCAATACGCTTACATTGTTGATCGAGGGTACGGATATACCGGAAAAAACAGTATATATTTATGTTCAAAATGCAATTTCTAAGGTAAAAAGAAGTAAAAAAATAAAATCAATTATATATACATATAAAATTTCAAAAAATATTCTGTTATATATAAATTCTTTGAATTCAAAAAATTTTTTTGAATTTAAAGAACAATAATTTAGAAAGAAATAATATAAAATAATATAAATTAAATTACGCACAACACGAGTATTGCAATATATTCTTATTTTATATTTACATAAGATTGTATTTTATGCTTATTATTATGATATAAATGTTGTATTACCTATGATTTCTGTTTGCATTTTTAGAACATTGATGATGTAAAACCGACACTCGAATATTCGTTTAACAGTAATTGCGCTGGCAAACTGGACAAAGATCGTTGCGAAAAAACATTTTGGAGTGCTGACATCATAATTCAAGATTCGAACTCAGGTATTCGATGAATGTTTGATAATATGTATGAATAAGCAATATATATAATTACGAATTGAAAATTTCCGTTTAATTAACTCTTTTACGATTTTTTTTTAGGTTTAAAAAGTGTTATATCGAATCCAAATGGACTATATTCACGCACTAAATTTGTGAGCGGCACTAAAGACCGTATCACATTTTATTATTTGTCGTCGTGTTGCTCGACAACAGCGACTATTACAGCAATAGATGTGTCAGACAACCAGTATTCCCGTACTATTGATGTAACAGGTAATTTTTCCTTTTTGCCAATAAATTTTTCGTTAATTCAACACATTTAATTAATAGAAACTTCTGATATACATAAGCTGCAGTAAATGTGAAAATAACATGACTGTATAATAGTATCAAAAGATCAAGTGTCGTGGTAATATTTTATTTTTATAGCATGGGATAATCTGTCGCAAGGAGAGATAGCAGCTATCGTACTTGGTGCATTACTACTCCTTTTTCTTATAATACTTCTTATTGTTGCAATAGTTTACTGCATTAGTAGAAGGAATAGTCATGATCTGCCTTACACACAAAGATATGGTTCTAGACCGCCTGCTAGATCCGAAAGAACAAGCTTCTAACAGTATGCTTAATGAGAAAATTAGTTATTATTATCACAACCAATTATAAAAATCATAAAAATTGTACACACATTAAATTTCTAAAATATATATTATTCAGTGTATATATAAAGCATATTTAATAAATTTTTATTATAAAATGTATATAATTGTGTTGTTATTAAAATTTAGATCTTCAAATTTTTTAATATTAGAATTTTATTTGCATAATTATAAACGAGACATATAAACAGGAAAATCTTTTCACGTTAATCTTTGTTTTATTTGAATTCTTATGCATATGTTTTATGCAATTTATGTAAATCCGGGCATGACCAAATGTGGGTATGACGAAACGAATATACTGAACCATTTATATAGATATATGTCTTATGTGCTTAACTGAGAGACTTTCATGACATACTATCACTTCTCTCTGTAATATCGACTGTGCAAATGATGAAGGAATAACAGATGTTTGCCAACGAATACATTTTGACAAACACAGATGCGAAGAAGATCAAGCGCAGTAAAACGGAGCAAACGGAGCAAACGGAGTAAAAACGGAATTACTTCCTTAAAGAATTATTTTTTATTACTCTCCTTGACAAATCTCACTTCGAAATCGATTGTTATTCAATTTTCTACATTATTAGGTCATAATAATATACAATATATGCTGAACCTCGCCCAGAGTTTCTCGTTGAATAGACTCACCGTCTCGAAGCATAGCTGACGCGGGGTTAACTGGCACTAGTAATGTATTCTCCGTGTAATTGTCGAAGGGGAAACCAGGACCCGCAGCGGACAACAATGGGTTTTTCACCTTACGCGATGCGTTGTTCATGTTCACTGTAATGATGTTGGAATCCACACAACCCGCAATGGCACTGACATTTAGCGTAAATATACACGAGGTTTTACGTGGGACTTTAAATGCTCCTACGAAATGCAAACCCACACTACCTTATCGTCCACGTAAGCATATGCTTATCAGCTTATTTAATAGTGAACACGTTGCGTTTGCTTGTATCTCTTCGTGCTCTTATGGAGCGTGTGACTGTCTTGAATAATCGTCGACTACATTTAGGAAATTTTGTATGTCCCCGTCTCTATATTGGTATTATATCTTCTGGGGTATATCAAAGATGGCGCTAAAATTCACCACATTTATACGTATACAAGCACCGAAATGTACTGTTAAAAATCATAAATATAAAGAACATATAAAAATATATAAAGATTTATATATCTATGTTCTTTATATCACGATTAAATAGCTCGATGAGCATGGAAATAATTAAAAAACGACGACAAATCAAAAATAACAAATATAAACATTTTATTATACGGAAATATTATTATTTTATTGTCAATAATGGAAAGTTCTATATACCTAATATAGTAAAAAATGTGAAAAATAATAAAATAATGTTATAATATAATATAAAAAAATAGGATTTAATTTTAAAAAATATAATATATTATATATAATAGTTATTATTTTACACACACACACACATATATTATTATTATTATTTTAAATTTCTATCACTACAATTATTATTTAATTAAATGAATTAATTATACAAAATGTGTGTCGAGAACTATATATCGTTATATATTACTTACATATATTAGTTACATATTACTTATAAAAATTATTATTACTTATATTAATCATATACTATGAATCATATATTATTAATTATATTTATATATTATTTCTATCTATTCGTAATAATATTATTTTATATATTTATGTTCATATTAAATTATTATTTTAATATTTCATAAGTTTATATATACTGACGTAATAGTTTTTTTTTCGTGTAACTGCATTTCTGTTATTATCAATTATGTTTATTATTTCTTACTTTGATCATTAAAAATATCTATAATGTGGGTTGCATAAATAAATGCTGAAACTTTAAGTTAATTTTTATAGTAGAAACATTAATCTAGATTAAATACATTTTAAAAAACGAAATAATAAAATTTTAGGAAGAATAATATTTAATTATATAACATTTAATTATATAACATTTTTTTCATCAGAGATCAGTGAAAATACTTAATTGCCATCTATCTTCATCGACTAAATCTAGACAAACACAATAAATTAAAAAATTTCAAACTTAACTGCCATTGATAACAACGGTTGCTATTTCATCAGCAACCAGTCTCAGTTTTGGGAAATGTCTAGATTTTCCTGTAAATGTACCATTCAGTTTCTAACTCGTACAAAGAATTGAGAGAGAGAGATGTAAATTTTCTTATCTTAAAATGTTCAAAATTAAACGACTATATTTAATTAAATTCTTTTAGATTATAATATTTATGTTTAAAAATTTAAATATATAAAATATATATAATTATATATTATAATTTATAATATAGCTTTGTAAAACTCTATTATATCTCTAATAATAAACTCTAAATTATATTTCTACTAAACTCTATTGTGAAATATCTCTATTATATAATATAATAGAGATATTTCTTGAAAAAATTTCTTTCATCAAAAATAATGTTGTTTGTAGCTAATTGCATAATAGTTTCATTCGTAATATTTGCAATATAATGCATATACTTTTAGTTATAATAATATAAGAGAGGATATATATTCTCATGCAAATAATTATGTAAAAAATGTATAGAGAATAATATAATATGTTTTTAATAGTTAAAGTTCTTTTATCTGTCATACACACACACACACATTAATATTTTGAAATGATACAGTTATGATCCATTTCTTGTCCTCATTAATCAAGAATTACTTTAATCAACGTGCTTTGACTTTCACAGACTCATGTAGGGAAAGATTAAACATCGAAATCCGATTTCCGATTTAATCCTTTTTGGGAAAAGAGCTTACAAAAAGATTAAAACTTCAAAGCGTCAGATAATTAACAACATGTGATACAAGTATTAAAGATTTGCGTATCTGTTACATGATAAATAAAGCTTAACCCTTTATCTTCTTTATGTTCTTCCTATGTATCAATGATATGTATTTAAATTCAATAAATTAATCTTTTGTTTTAAAAAAAAAATGCGAAAAAAATTATGAATTTGTTATATCAGACTAAATAATTTATAAGACAAAATGTTTTTCTTGTCTTTTAACATTTTTTTAAATATATTTATTTTATAAAAGTTATTTGTGAAAAGTAATGTTTTATAAAAATTAATAATAAGCTAATTCGTGCATTTTCTTTTCATCGAATTTAGAATATTTTGAAGACTTTTTGTAAATTTGTTATTTATTTAAAATAAATGTATCAAAAAACTTTTCTCTTGTATCAAAAAACTTTTCTTTTCTCAGAAATTAAAATATTAAAATATTAAAAATGTTGATCAGTTTACATATGTTTTCATGCTGTTGTATATTATATTGAGAGGATTATCGTTAAATATTTTATATTTATGTAAAATATTTTTACATAAGATACATATATTTATATATTAATATTAATTAAAATAAAGCTAATGCTTTAACAATTCTTCTGTAAATTTTTGTATAGCAAATTATATATTCATCAATCAAAAACGAATTATATCGAGTTGACAAAAAATAATATTCTTTGCCCCCATAATGTCGCGTTTTAGATGACATCGCTAAATATTGCCTGATCGTGCATCCTCGTTCGCTAATCTGTCTAATCTGTCCCAAAATGAAATAGTTGCGATTCTTTCGGTCTCACCCTTCAAATGCACGAAACGTCGCAATGGGAGAAAACACTTGACCTGACTAGGAAGGGTGGCTCTTGAAGTGGTTTACAACGGGGGGGATTATATTTGGGGCAAAGTGACTATCGAGATACGATCACATCGTCTTTCTAACTAGTCACATAACGTATCAAGCTTTTGAAAATCAATTCTTTTTAGCGCTTTTTTTTAATATTTCTTAAAATAATTTTCGTAGTTAAAATAATTTGCTTTAATAAATATTTATACATGTTACTGCAATTATTATAATAATAAACAAGCAAATAATATAAAATAATTATTAATTATAATATAAAATAATATAATAATTTATTTATAAATAATATATTTGCAAAATAATATATTTATCTCAATCATTTTTAAACAAAATCTAGAGCATTTATCTTTATACAAAGCACAAAAAGTATTCGTATATAAAAGTGTCATTATAAAACTTTTTTATATAAATTGTATCTTATAAATTATATATATATATATATATATATATATATATATATATATGATCTGATTATTAAATATTAGGAAAATTATATTACATTTTTAATGCATTCATAAATTACATTCATTTTCATTTTAACAAAAGTATTTGTTTCTTAATCATTAAATTTCATCAAATTTTCCGGAAAACATAAAAATCTGAACATATCAGAAATATGTATATGTACATAGATATATATGTGCAACGACATCTCACGAATATGCCACATGCCTGCGAACAATACAACTCGCAGCATTCTTCTCTCTCTCTCTCTCTCTCTCTCTCTCTCTCTCTCTCTCTCTCTCTCTCTCTCTCTTTGCTTTTTCGACTCACCTACGCATCTCCATGTCCTTCCCTTTACTTCCCCGCGTTCTTCTAGGTATCCAGGCAGAACGAGGGTGACGTAGAAAGCGGCGGGAGCAGGGTGCTGACTTTTATTACCCTGTCTGATGTTATAAATGCGACCTGTATGCAGCCCTTCAGGCATATGTTCCCCTCCCATTCTGCATAGCGGTTATGCTTTTTACGGCATGTATATTCGTGGTCATGATTAGTGACAGCTACGAACACACGCATATGGTATAACCCTCATTTAGTCAAATACCAAGCATCTCCAAATCTCGATTATTTGCCGCTCGAATATAAATTACAAATATTTATGGATAACGCTACGTTTATACTGTACTTATCTACAGCATATTGTAATTAAAACAATTATTTTTTATTTTATTTTAAATAATTTCATTTTAAATGTTTTAGTAATATTTTTATTCTTTTTTCAACAATTTAGTGGCATAAAAGAAAAAATTATGTACATAGCATCCTCTTATATATGAAAATTTTCTCTTTTTTAATGTTAAGCATTATATGTTTACTTTGAACAGGAATAAAAGATTGAAAATAGTGATGCTATTTTTATTTTTTATATAACAATTAGGATGCAAAGCGAAAAAAATATGGACCATTCATCCACTTGTAACCAATTAGCTATAAACAGTCGGATATTTGTAAAATATTATATTATTTTTTTATATGATATTTTTTTTTGAAAAATTTCGATGGTACGTTTTAATTTCCATAAAAGCTGCACAAAATTTATCACAAGTACCACTTTAGCTACGTATATAAAAGCATTTATCTTTATCGTACTTTGATATTTAAATCGATCAATTATATACACATAAATATAAAAAATTTTAATATGTTTATATTAGATGTAAAATTATTTAACAACTTCATTATCACACATTTATGATAATTACAACATTATTCTATAAGTCAGAGAATTCATTATATAATAAATATGATTTAATAGAACTTTTTTTAATTTGTCCAGAATTTAAAGTAAATTATTCTATAATGTATGAATTATTACGAAATATTATTAAGATATATAAGAAATCTAACAAATAAATTAAATGTAGTCAAATATTTAAAGTCTGATGAAAATACTGTTCATATTCGCTGCAAATTAATATTTAAATATATAATAGATATAAAGTTATATAAATACAATTATCATTATTGAAATTTGTTAGAGATGAATACAAAAATAATGATCAAAAATAATAATATTAATGATTACGCAAATATGTAGCCGGCTAACCCAGGCAGCGAAATACAGCTAATCGTTAGAAAAATATTTGTATGCTTTTCATTTTTTAATAATACAAGCGTCGTTCGTGCTACCGACCGATGAGAGACATTTGCATCTGGGAAGAATATTGCAATTACGACCAGTCGTTTCGTCGCGTAATAAATTATACTCGACCGCTTATCATGTCCGCAACGTTAATTGGATGCTGAAGCGCGCTGCAAACGTTTGAGATTTCTGTAACCTTTGAATCGTTTTATAAAGAATTTTGTATTTTTATT